CATTTTTTTATTAATAACATTACATTTCTAAGAAAAAATACAACACATCATAATTAAGAGCCTCAATTCTGTTCTCTAGATTTTTGATGAGGCAAATCTAAATTTTACTTTCCTGTCTTTTTTTCTTTTACATCCTGCTTACTTAGGGGGGAGTTTCAGCAACAGAAACTGGTCACACATTTTTTTTTAGATCTCAAAATTTTTTCTGAAGTTCAAACAAAGCACTGAATAATCTCTTTGCAGGAGAGCTAATAGTCTTGCTCTCTCCAGCCTCCCCTAGAACTCTCCGCACCAGAGGCAGTTTACTAAGATTCAAGACAATGTCAGAAAAAAGAATGAATTTTGTTCATAGGTCAATCACAATTCATACTTAAGTAGCTATATGACTCTACTTAGCTGATACCAATAACAAAGACTAAACATTGTAAGCAAGGCCATCTGGGCAGCTTCACCACAGAATCACCTGCCACTCCCTGCAGATCACTGGAGTAGCATTCAAATGCAAATGAACACATTCTTTCGCTGAAGACCTCCAGCCATTCAGGTAAACTTGTTACCTTTACCATCTAGTTTCCGCCTCACGGTGGGGAATTTCAAAAGCTGCTTACAATGACTTGGGAAACCAGTTTTAATTTATCTTCCAGTTAATCTCCACCATTTTAAAAACTCATTCTATACACAGAAAAGAGTTTTAAGCACAGACCAAAACTATGCGCACTCGTTTTGAACTGGCCTTTTCCTTTACATGAGCACAGAAATTCGCCCTTGAGCTCTTCTCCCATACCCGATATCACCTCGGACCCAATGCCTCCACCCATGGCCCAGCCCCCAGAGCGAGGCTGCTGCCGCTGCCACCCCAGCCACACTACTCAGGCAGCCCCCTAGGAGGAAGCGCAGGTCACCCCAGCAACTTCCTGGCTCTGCCTCCCCTTCTCCAGGCAGCCAGAAAATTAACTCAAATGCCTGCTCCCTGAGCGAGGCCACCACTGCCCAGCTGTGCTCCAACGTGCAGACTGAGCCCCGCGGGAGCACCCCCCCCCCCCCCGACCCAACGCCGCCAGGGGGCCCTACACCACCAGGCCGGCCACACTTCGCCAGCTCCATCCTGGGGTGCCATGTCACCCGCCGATACCAAACTCAGACCTGGGAAAGGTTCCGCAGGTGAGGCAATAGCTTACTTCGCTCACCTCATCCTGGGAGAGGCTACCATCCCTCTCCCCATATGAGGGTCCCTCTAGGGCCCTCCTGGGAGGTCAGAACATCTTCTGACCTCCTGCCCGTGGTCTTATGGTGCGTCTACCAGACGTATTCGGGCACCAATTCCATGAAGGGTTTTATGTCCCTCCAGAGTGCTCACACAAGGATACAGACAAACACACACCTACTGCGGCCAGTCAGGCTATCCGAATTGGGGTCCCTCATGGTCCTGGCTGGGGATCCCGGACAAATTCCCCCATATGTTATGCCCAGACTTCATGATCCCCAAGGACCACCAGGGAGCCGAGTCTGATGCAATAAACAAAAGAGCCTTTTCCATGTTAGCATGGGCTCTGTCCCACTCACACTGGCAGCATGGCGGAAGAGAGAGCGAATTTCACCCAGTCCAGGGATTTTACTCTGGTCAGTGGTGATGTCACTGCCTTGGCTAACCCTGATTGGGCTGAGTCCAGTTACAAAATGGAGGATAACTCCGCCCTGTCCCACAGTGGAGTCAGGAGCTCATCCTCTCCCCGCCCTGCCCTCTCACCTGTTTCCCTGAAAATAAGACAGTATCTTATATTAATTTTTTCTCCCAAAGTTGTGCTAGGTCTTATTTTCAGGGAAACATGATATAACCAGTCCCCATTATTGTATTTCTGCCCCTAACAGTAGATCAAGTCTACCCTAAGGTTCCTATGTAAGGACAGTTTGAGGAGGACCCTCAGCTCTGAGTTCTGCACCATCCCAATTTGTGAGGGCAGGCCAGCAGTGCTCCCACCATGCTCTTGCTCCTAGATTCATTGCAGAAAGCTTGGCTTTCTTCCAGTGCTTTTGGGGACTGTGGCAAAGAACCTGACTCCTTTCCTTTCCTCACATATTTTAGCAGAGGTTCAGTCACCAACACTAGAATACAACTTTCAGGTGATCACTCTCCAGCACACTCAAAGGGACCATGTGCTAGAGAAGATTCTTCATTTCACTGGCTTTCCTTCCCTAAAATAAGACAATAGATTTGAAATGAATGTCAACATAAGAAACATTTAGACTTGTGAGTAATTTTTGTGAGTTTACTTGAGCCAAACTGTAGACAATTGATGGGAAGCAAAATCAAGGGGGTTGAGCTAATGCTCCAGAGAATGGCAGTTTTGCCCTTGTTTTATATATTTAAAAAAAAAGAGAAAAAGAAGACGTAAGTATGTTACATGAAATCCATTGGTAATAGATTAGAGAGGCAGGAGAAAATAAACTGAGGAAACCTCTGGAAGTGGGTGAAAAGTAAAATAATAGGCATATTTCTTTTATTTAGGTGGGTATAGGTTAGTTAAGAATCAACAATTAACTCAATAACAATGAGGTAAGTTGTGGTCTTTGCAGAGTGGTGCCTGTGCTTTCAGGGGTTTGGAAAAAGGAAAATTACTTTGACACTCCAAAATATGTTATTGTAGATGCAAAAGACAATAGGCAGGTTCAGTTAAAGTAAATATTGACCATTTTCAGGCAAGTTGCTGGACTAGGATATGACTAGCTGCCATGAACTGCTTTTAGTTTAAAAGTATTCATTTCAGACCATCCTTGTGGTTATTTTAGGTTTCTGAATTTGTAAGGCCACTATGCAGGCCTCCCCTGAGGTTGTTAGGTTAGCATGTGGCCCTTTCATCAACACATCCCCTTTTTGGTCATAAATCAATCCAAAGAATGCATTGATGATCATCATTTTGCTGAATAATGGGGTCTCATTTTGCTGCTAATGAAGGCTCATGTGTCAACATTTGTCCTGCTAAACACAGTGGATTTCTGGGTATGGGACAAAGACCATAATGTTTGATGGCATTCACAATTGAATTATTATTTAAAATAAAAAGGCAACAAACAGCCGAAACTAGTTTGGCTCAGTGGATAGAGTGTCGGCCTGCGGAAAGAAAAGGAGGTGAATGGGAGGCAGTCAGAGGCTATGTGACCTTGTTAAAAAAATATTAACTTTTCAGCTATCATAATCTGAGTTTTATTGCTGCTTATCTTAAGTTTTGTTTTTCTGCATCTAGTATAACATTTACATACCAGGAACAAAAGCATCAGTATTAAACCAGTAACACTGACTAGGATCAGAACATGTCTAATGCTATACAAGGAAAGATCTGAGGGGAACAAGCATCCCAGTCAACTGAAAAACCCTTTACATGTATTATCATTATTTTTTATTAAGCTAGTTATATGTTTTTCTTCTTCATACACTGTCACTTGCACCTTATGATATGTTTGGCCAGGTAAATGAAGATTTTCTACTATTTAATTATACAGAAGCTCTAATTTTTCTTCTAGCCAGTTAGTTGCAATAGAAATGACTTCATGGGAAGGATTAATTTCAATTTGCCAATACTTTGGATTTTCAGTATCGATATCATAGATTTTATTAACCTTATGCAAAGTTATTCTGCTTATAATTACATATTGTTTTCACTATGAAACCATAAGGAGGATAATAACAATATAAAAATTATTTTATGGAAGGCAGATTAAAAATGGCAGGGAGTAAGTGGATGATGCAAGGACATGCTCCAAGAACCGAACTGGAATTATAATTAAAATACAGAAAAACTTCCCGAATAATCAACAGAAGACTCACTGAAGAGAACCCTGATAACTAAGGACCTAAAGTGAAGACCACATAGAGACTGATAGGAAGGGTGGAGGTGCAAAAGGGCTGGCCAAGCTCCCACAAATAGCAAGTGAAGTTCCAGAGAGATATATAAGCTGTGGGGGGTTCCCACTGAGAAATCTGAGGTCTAGACCCCAAACTGGGTCCGCCCAGCAAAGAGCACCAGAACTGAGAAGGGTCCCCACAAAATGTCTGGCTATGAAAAGCAGCAGGGTTGCAATCTGCCAGGAAGAGATGGCTAGAAATTGAGGCACCCTCTTAAAGGGCCAACACACAAAATTCCCCGTTAGAGTAACCCATCTTGTGCTCTGGCAGAGGGAGGACAGGGCAGATGGGTGCTGTGTGAGCAAAAGCCAGGTTCAGAGGCTCTGAGGTTAGAGCTCAAAAGGCAGAAACCCTAGTTTTCTGTGCTGAGTCATCCCCTCATGCTGGGAAGGACATCCTCCACACCCAGAATGTACTGGACACTTTGCCTGGGGAGAAGACAGCTGATTCACCCTTTTGGAAAAACACTTTCCCATAAGGTGGAGTTGCTAAGGTCCATTAAGAGACCAACAATAACAATTTCCAGGCAGAAGCAATTGCCTCACCTTGTTGAAAGTAAAACTCTTGCCACACCTGTGGACAATTGCCTGAGGGCAATTCAAGACAAAATCCTATCAGTCTATAGAGGCAGTCTTGGGAGGCTTTTAATTTTGCCTGATCTTATTAGTCAGAAACCACGTTTGACACTGTCTTGCACTAGAAATTGAAAAGCATAGCAGATATACCTAATACCTAGTCACAAACCCAAACAGGCAGCCAAAATGAGGGGACAAAGAAACAGCCCCAAATGAAAGATCAAGAGAATTCTCCAGAAGAAGAGATAATGAAATGGAGTTAAAGAATTTATCTGATACAAAGTTCAGAATAATGATGGTAAAGATGCTCAACATCATGAGAAAAGATATAGTAACTATGAAAACAGAAATAAAGAATGACATAGCACAAATAAATAACACATTGAAAGGAATACATAGCAGGTTAGGGGAATCTGAGGATCAAATCAGTGAATTATAAGACAGGGTTGAAAAAAATCACTCAATCAGAGAACCAAAATGAAAAACAATTAAAAAACAGGAGGACAGCTTAAGGGAGCTCTAGCATGGCCTTTGAAAATCTACAGAAAGTGCTCATCAGTGACAGCTTGGACCCTTACTGCCAAAAGATCCTGCAAGATGGAGGGCTGCAGGTGGTGGAGAAGCAGAACATGAGCAAAGACAAGCTGATAGCCAAGCTGCAGGACTGCAAAGGCCTTATCCTCCGCTTGGCCACCAAAGTGACCGCAGATGTCATCAACACAGCAGAGAAGGTCCAGGTGGTGGGCAGGGCCAGCACCAGTGTGGACAATGTGGATCTGGAGGCCACCACGAGAAAAGGCATCCTGGTCATGAACATCTCCAATGGGAAGAGTCTTAGTGCTGCAGAGCTCACCTGTGGGATGATCATCTGTCTGGCAAGGCAGATTCCTCAGGTGACAGCTTTGATGAAGGATGGCAAATGGGACTGAAAGAAGCTCATGGGAACCAAGTTGAATGGAAAGACCCTGGGAATTCTTGGTCTAGGGAGGATCAGGAGAGGGGTGGCCATAATAATTCAGTACTTCGGGTAAAAGACTGCAGGGTACAACCGTATCATCTTAGCAGAGGACTCAGCCTCCTTCAGCACTCAGCAGCTGCCTCTGGAGGAGATCTGGCCCCTCTGTGACTTCATCACTGTGCAAACCTCTCTCCTGCCCTCCACCACAGGCCTGCTGAATGACGGCACCTTTGCCCTGTGCAAGAAGGGCATGTGCGTGGTGAACTGCGCCTGCGGAGGGATCATGGACAAGGGTGTCCTCCTCCGGGCTCTGCAGTTGGGGCAGTGTGTGGGCGCAGTGTTGCCTGTATTCACGGAGGAGTCACCTCAAGAGCATGCCGTGCTGGACCACCAGAACGTTATCAGCTGCTCCCACCTGGGCGCCAGCACCAAGGAGGCCCAGAGCCACTGCGGGGAGGAGATCACTATTCAGTTTGTGGACATAGTGAGGCGGAGAGCCTTTACTGGTTGCCCAGGCCCTTACCAGCACCTTCTCTCCACACACCAAACCTTGGACCTGTCTGGCAGAAGCTCTGTGGACTCTGATGTGAGCCTGGGCAGGGTCCCTTCAAAGGGACCATCCAGGTGGTAATTCAGGGCTTATCCCTAAAGAATGCCAGGAACTGCCTGAGCCCCTCAGTCATAGTTGGCCTCATCAAAGACACTTCTAATCATGCAGATGTGAACTTGGTGAACACCAAGCTGCTGGTGAACGAGGCTGGCCTCAATGTAACCACCTCCCATAACCAAACAGTGCCAAGAGAGCAAGGATGTGGGAAGGCCTCCTGAGTGTGGCCCTGGCAGGTGCCCCTTGCCAGGCTGTGAGTTTTGTCTAGGGAACCACACCTGTGCTACAGGGACTCAATGGAGCACTCAGACCAGAAGTACCTCTCCACAGGGGTCTGCCCCTACTCCTGTTCTGGGCTCAGCCCTCCAACCCTGCCATGTTGCCTATCATGATTGCGCTCTGGTAGAGGCATGCATGCAGCTGCTGTCCTACCAGACCTCAGTGGTGTCCAATGAGGAGACCTGACATGACATGGGCATCTCCTCCCTGCTGCCCAGCCTGGATGTCTTGAAGCAGCATGTGACCAAGGCCTTTCAGTTTCATTTCTGACCTTGAGTCTCTCCAGGACCAGCCTTGGGGGCATTGTGATCAATATTGAGTCACATTCCTAGAACTGACACCACTTATGTGGTCTGACCCCATAATAACCACTTAATAAATAGTCAACTCTTCCCTCCCACCCACCAAAAAAAAGAGAGAGAACCAAATCTGGGTCAACTGTGAGGAGGCAATGGCTTCCTATAATAGAAGGTGGAGCTTTAGACACTAACTGAAATAGAAACCAACCAATCAGAACCAAATTGGCTGGCAGAAGAGGGCTGTTGGGGATGAGATCAGACTGGCAGAGGTGGGCAGTTAGGGGCGATCTGGCAGGCAGGCAGAGGGGTTAGGGGTAATTAGGCAGGCAAGCAGGTGAGCAGTTAGGAACCAGCGGTCCCAGATTGTGAGAGGGATGTCCAATTGCCGGTTTAGGGATTGGGGCTAAACCAACAGGCGGACATCCTCCAGGGGGCCCCCTACTGGAGAAGGTGCATTTTGGGCTGAGGGAACCCATATACTTTCATGCTCTGGGCCACTAGTATTTACACTGAGTGGCCAGATTATTATGACCTCTGAATGCATAATAATCTGGCCATTCAGTTTATATCCTATATAATAAAAGGCTAATATGCAAATTTCCTCCTTGACCAGGAGTTCTACCAGCAGGCAGGCCAACTGCCCATGTCCCCTCCCCCTGGCCAGACTGGCCAGATCACATCCATGAACAATTTCATGCACAGGGCCTCTAATATATATACACTGAGTGGCCAGATTATTATGTGTTCAAAGATCATAATAATCTAGCCACTCAGTGTATATAAAATCATAAGCAAACAGTTGTCCATTCAACTGGTCATTATGACATGCATTGACCACCAGCTTAAAACAGAAGCTGCCAAGCAACAGCAACTTTGCAGAGTGCCCTCTCGCACTCCCAGACCTGTTGGGGGATGTCTGATTGCCAGTTAGGCCTTATCCCCACAGGTCAGGCTAGGGACCCCACATGCTGGAGGGACCCTGCTCACTTTGCAGATGCCCTTCGAGCCCAGGCACTGCCCAGGTGTGGCTGGCTGGGGAGGGACCGCAAGAGGTTGGCTCCGGGCATATCTGGCCAGCCTTGACCAGTCCTACCCCACCGGTCACCTTCTAATTCATTTCCCTTTAAAGTACATGAATTCATGCACTAGGCCTCTAGTTATTTATATTAGTTTTTAATAATTCAAAGAAGTAGATTGGACTTTTGGTTTATCCCTGGGGCATTACAGTCCAAGTAAGTTGTCAATTTTCCCAGATGAAGGCAAAGAGATATTGACTATCCTTTTCTACTAGAATTTTGAAGAACATACTACATTAATCTGTTATTGAAAAATAAAGGCAGTTTACAGGAATGGCTGATAAAAAAAAAAGTATGTGTGATTTTGAACCGCAGGTTGTGTGGGTATATCTATTTTATTTTAGTTCTGAAATTCTGTATAAAATTTTATTATTTGTAATTTTTAATTGGAAGGTAGGAGAATTACAAGGGCTCGTATATGAAATTATAAGTCTGCTTGTTAAGTAATCTTGTATATAATGGGCTTAATTACAGCTAGGAATGGAATGGCAGCTGGGATGAACCAGGGGCAGAGTGGGGAGTATGGGTTGGGGGGAGGGGGAGAAGGGAGGGAGCTAGTGTATTAGGTCTTAAATGACATTGGTGAATATTAGGGAGAAGCAAAGTTACTTTAAAAGGAGTGGCTGACTTGATTTTGTCAATATCTGTACTGGAAAGGGCCCAAAGTGGTCTTGGAATATCCTGTAACAAATGTTTAGCTTCAAGATTATTTTCCTCTTTAAAATCATTATTTTTCCAATTGATTTAGCATTTGATTCATTTGGTTCTAAATACATTTCATCTTCCAGAAAAAGGATAGGTGGGCATTGTGGGTTTTAAGAAAATCTCTTATTAAGTCAGATGGAAAAGGACAAGAACCATATGATTTCACTTATATGTGGGATATAAAACAGAAAACAATAAAAGAAACGAAACAAATTCATGAACACAGACAATAGTATGGTGCTTACCAGAGGGCTGCGGCTGGGGGCAGGTAATAAAGGATAAGGGGGGTCAGATATACAGTGAGGGAAGGAGGCTAGACTTTGGATGGTGATCATGCAATGCAATGTACAGATAATGGGTTGTAGAATTGTACATTGGTTAATAGTGTTATTAACCAATGTCACCACAATAAACTTAATTCTACAAAAGCTGAGAAAGTGAGCAGTTTGGGAGGATTAGCCCATGTGTGACAGGAATGGGTAGCCATGGCTGAGTTGCAATGATGGTCCTTAGAGTTGAGGAAGTGTTGGCTCTGAAGACACTAAAGGCTGCAGAGGTGTGAAAGCTCTGATGGCTGAGAAGTGAATGGGGAAGCTAAACCAGATGCTAAGAACCAGCACGCAATTACCAGGGGTGGGGAAATGGGGGATTGGGGAGGAGTGGGGGGACACCCAGGCCTGCCCAGCCCCCGCTGGAGGGATCAGAAGGCGACTTTTGTGGGAGGGTTCCAGGCAGTCGAGGTGTGGTGGGGCGGAGGAGCGGTGGATGGCTGGCCTTTCCAGGAAACAGGAACTAGGGCAGAGCGCTGGGGTGCGTCCTGGAGCGCAGGAAGTGGGGTTTCCCCTAAGAAGGAGGGGAGGCTTGCCTAGGGGATGGCAGCTGAGCTGTACTGAGAGAAATGGGCTCCGAGCCCCTGAGAGCTTCAGGCACCGCCCTGCTCCGGCGCGAGGCTAGCTGTTTGGGGACCGTCCTCTCCACCCCTCCACCCCTCTAACCCTCGATCGCCCGCCCTTCCTAGGGGGCCCCTTCCTCCCCGCTGCGCGGGGCCTGGCCTGGCCGGAGCCGCCCTCCGCGCCGGCTCGCTCCCAGAGTCCCAGCCCTGGGTCTCCATCCAGCTGCACCCACAGGCGGAAGCCGCTCTCTGAGCCCCCAGACCACACACCTGGGAGGGGTCCAGGAGACCAGGGGAGTCAGGGTAGGCGCAAGGGGCAAGAAAGGATCAGAATGGGGGCTGGGACGGGACAGGGGCGGAGTGGGGAGTGGGAGTGGGGAGATGAGCGGGGAGCGAGAGGGGGCAGGACCTAAGGGAAGCATGGCACCGCTGCAGGAGGACCTGGGAGGAGGATCCCCGGTGTCCATCACCAGGGCCCAGGCCAGTGGAGGACGGACTAGTGGCACCTACACCACTCAGCCCATTAGTTTATACCACAGCGCCCCCTGTGTTTCCTTCATCGCACCAGCCAGCACCCTAATGAGGCAATTCCTTCATTCTGGGTTTCCACTAGAGGTCACTCACTACCTGGAGAGGAGGCCCAGGCTCCTCACTATCCTGATCTGGGACAAGGCCAGGCGGGAGGTGCATCCAGGAGGGTGGTGGAGGGGAGAGGAAGAGGTCAGGCCCAGGAGGCTGGAAGCCCGGGGAGGAGGAAGGACGGGGGCTCCGAATAAGGAGAGCTCTATGAAAGGGCAGGGGGCTTGGTAAGGTCAGCCTAGGGTACCTGTATGAACTGTATCAGCTCCCAGCACCACCATAGGAGAGCTAATCACAAACCATCCCACCGTCCAGCCACTCGATGCCACTCAGACCACTGCCAGAGCCTGCTGCCTTTGCCAAGGTTGTCTCTAGATTATTAGATCCACACCTCAGATGGGGCAGTGTATGTACACTCTGTGTTCATGGAAGTCTGAGGCATTGCTTTCGCTGTCTCTCCAATTCGGTGTTTGGGATCTTATCTACACCTTAGAGCACTTTTATTATATTTTCAAAAATAAACACAACATATAA